TGTGGAGAACAAAGTAGCGTGAGGCAAAGACATAAACTTTTTTGCAAAATCCAGGCAAGAAAATAATAGTGGGTCAGATCAGATGGTAGCAGTTCAGGTGTTGAGAAGTGCATGTACGTGCACGTGCGTGCATGCGTGTGTACACTGAAGGTAACATTGACAGAAAATGCTAAAGGGGCAAGGTTTTTTGGCCTGATCAATTTGAAGAACAAAGTTGCCACTTAAACTGAAATAAAGAGGTTACAAAAGGAGCAGATTTTATTGGGTATGAGGATGACATGGGTGGAAATCAATAGTTCAGTTTGGGACAATTTAGTATAGATGTCCTGATTGGTAGTTAGACATTAAAGGAGATATAAATTTAAAGTCTTGAGACTAAATGATAATAGACAGATAACAGGCTTGAGGAGTAAGTGCTGGGACACATTTAACTTAGAAGAGAAACCTCCTAGGGAAGCTGAGAAGGAGCAGATAGTAAGACTGGAACCAAGAGAACTAAGAGTGAGACATATCCTAGAAACCAAAAGAACAAAGTGTTCATAAAAGAGGATCAAGTGCTACTGACAGGTTACAGAAGGACTATAATTGACTAGTGGATGCAGTAATGTGGTGGTCACTCATGACCTTAACAAGAACTATTTTGATGAAGTGTTGGTGCAGAAAGCCTGACTGGACTAGATTCAAGAAAGAGTTGAGACAGGGGTATAGACAACTCTTTCTAGAAATTTTGCTGTAAAGAAAGGCAGAGAAACGAGAGGGTATTTGTAGGAGGATGTAGAGTCAAGAGACTTTGTTTTGTATTGTTAAGATGGGAAAAATAACAGCATATTTGTATACTCATGAGAGTGACCCAGTATGGAGGAAAGGCTGATGATGCAAGAGGGAAAGGGAATAATTGCTGGTGCAAGGTCACTGAGCCTGTGAGAGAGAATGAAATCCAATGCACAATGGAGAGGCTAGTCTTAGGGGCACAGTTCACTCATGGTAGTGAGGGAATGAATATATGGGTCTAGATACACATAGAATAGTAGATGTGTTACAGGAAACATACAGCAGCTCTCTTTTAATTGCTTCCATTTTTCCTCAGTGACACAGGAAGTGAGGTCATTGACAATGAGGAATTGGGAAGATGTTGGAGATACAGGAAGTTCGAGGAAGGAAAGGTGTGAAAAAGTTGTCTGGGATGCTAAATGAATTATGAAGCTGCAACAGGACTGATGGATAAATGAACTCACTTTGTGTCAAATTTAGGGCTCTTTGGAGGTAACCATCAATTTTAGAAGTCGCTTAGCCCCCATCTAAATTTTGATACCTTTCTGTAATTCACTTTCTTTTCTGAGATGGTTTCAGAAAAAAGACCGTCCTGTAAAGTGAATTACAGAAAGGTATCAAAATTTAAATTTAAATGGGGGCTGACTTAAACTTCATAGAAACAAAATAAAAATAAAGATTAAAAAATGCCAATATTAAAATATAAAGGCATATATAAGGTATACGTATATTTGTGTATACATATTTATATTTGCCATTGGATTTTATCACCCTACTAATTATCACTCCTGTATAAGGTACTAGTAAAATACAAAGATAAGCATAACTCATGTGGAATGTATCTTTCAAAAGCCTCTATCTCCAATTATTTCAAGCTAGCAGATAAAAATTACTAAAACATTAAGAAAAATTTTTGTTTTATTGTAAAATGGTAGGTACTCAAGCACTGCATGGCACAGATGGCATTGTTATATCTTAATAATCATGGCATTCTTCTTACCTGTGTATCTGAAGATACAGCTGGTGCAAATTACAGCAAGAATCAGAGAGGAAAGGAAGAAATTCCTAAAATAAAACAACTCTATTCATTCTTTGCATAAAATGTGTCTTTTTAGTACATATAATCTCACAAAGGAATGCAAAATAAAATAAAATCCTGAATGTGCCCCCTTTTAAAAAAAAATTATTTTTCTTTCTTTTCTTTTTTTTTTTTTTTGAGACGTAGTTTCACTCTTGTTGCCCAGGCTACAGTACAATGGTGTGACGTCAGCTCACTGCAACCGTCTCCCGGATTCAAGCGATTCTCACGCCTCAGCCTCCCAGGTAGCTGGGGTTACAGGCGTGCATCACGACACCTGGCTAATTTTGTATTTTTAGTAGCGGAAGGGTTTCACCATGTTGTCCAGGTTGGTCTTGAACTCCTGACCTCAGGTCATCCACCCGCCTTGGCCTCCCAAAGTGCTGGGATTACAGGCATGAGCCACCACACTTTAAAAACTGTGTCATAATTTTAAAGAGGCCTGCATATTTGAGAGTCATCAGAATAGTAGTGGTAACTGTAAAACAGAAAAATTGTCGACCGGGCACAGTGGCTCACACCTGTAATGCCGGCATTTTGGGAGGCCAAGGTGGGCAGAGCACCTGAGGTCAGGAGTTCGAGACCAGCCTGACCAATATGGTGAAATCCCATCTCTACCAAAAATACAAAAACTAGCCAGGTGTGGTGGCAGGCGCCTGTAGTCTCAGCTCCTCGGAAGGCTGAGGCAGGAGAATCGCTTGAACCTGGGAGGCAGAGGTTGCAGTGAGCCGAGATCATGCCATCACACTCCAGGCCTGGGCAACAGAGCGAGACTCTGTCTCAAAAAAATAAACAAACAGAAAAGTTGTCAAGGCAGATTATTTGCAAAGATGAGCCAAGAATGCTTACAGCAGTCAGTGAACAAAACATTATTAGTAAAAGATGTTAGTGGTTTTTAAAAAAACTACTGTCCATGTTCAATTTGTTTTTGACCTTTTCTTCTGTTTTTGAGGAAAGATAAGGGTTTCCAATGACGATTTATTATAGTCAGAATTCCATGGCTGGTACCCTTGGCTACTGATACACTGCCATCCAAATTGGTCTTTCTGGGCAGCTGCCATTTAAGAGTAGTTGGTTGCTTCTTACACTGGGTTCTCTGCAGCTTGCAGGGTTTGTATTCCAGTGGCAAAGACACATTGTGGGAAATGCACCAATGGCATTTGATGGGTAGTAACCCATCTGATATTTGCTTGGTGTGTAGGGAGGCAAAGTTTTCCCTAATCATGCTGCTTGTCTTTTTGAAAAAAAATCAATTCCATCAGGGGAATCTTTAAAAATTTTCAAATGATCATCAGCTTTTTCCTATATCTTATAATACAATAAAAACTATTTCTTTTACTTTCTAAGGCATAGTCTAACCATAAAAAAGAAATCACATCTGTACTTAAATCCCAGCCTTACTGGTTTCTAGATATGTGACTTGATCAAGTTATATGCTATCTGAGCTTGAGCTTTCTATTCTGTGGAATGGGGATAATAATTAGTTTTTTGAGAGGACTACAATTAAATAAAGTAATGTATAATAAAGACTTACCTTAGTATAGTGCAAAAGGGAGTTGGCAAAAAAACGACACAATTTGAGTGTTTTCTGAAATAATCTGTAGTCAGCATTATCCTGCACCAAAAAGGGAAATAAGCATAATAAATAAGAATATAAAATTAGCTAAACTTACAAATGAGACAATGTTTTCTAAAAAACAAAAACAAAACCTCTTAAATATGGTATAAAAATTTTCCAAGAAAATATAACTCTTCTTTGAATTATTAGGTGCAATGCAAATAACAAATGACAATAGAGGTATTAAATTCTACATTACTGAAAAGAAATCTTAACCTATGATAGCAAAAGAGGTGATCCTTCTTGGTTGATCTGAAAGTGAAAGAAATTTAAATACCTTATTCTTTGTTACATGGGTATAAGTTTAACGGATGGTCAAAAAAAAAAAGGTCTTACAAATCAAAGAAAGAATGATACATAAAAGAAAACAGGTAAAGACATAAAAACATATTTCACAAAAAAGACAAAACAAACTGCCAATAAATTAATACTGAAAAATATCCAAATTACAACCTAATTATATATATTTGGGGAAGGGGGAAGTTTGAGGGTTATTTGATTAGCAAAGATTAAAAAGACTGATAATATCCCTTCACTAGTAAGAAAGTAAGGTAACAAGCACTTTCTTTTACTACTGATGGGAACATAAAATAATACATTATTATAAAAAGCTGAAGTGTTAAAACATCTTAATTGAGTAGCAATTCAATTTCTGGAAACACAGTCTATAGAAATACTAGCATAGGTATGCAATATGACATTTTTGGTTGCTTGGCCTATGGAGTAGCCATTCTTTATTCCTTTACTTTCTTCATAAACTTGCTTTCATCTTACTCTATGGATTCACCTTGAATTCTTTCTTGCACAAGATCCAGACCTCTTTTGGCGTCTGGATCAGGACCCCTTTCCAGTAATAACTTCCTGGCAAACGCCGTAGGGACAATACTGAGACCTCCAGTGCCAAAAAGTAGACTGCAGCACCAATTGGCCAACTTTCGTTAAGTGGTGGGGTACCCAGGTGACGAAGAGGATTGGGTTAGAGCCCCAACTTATAGGAGTTGAGAGTCTCTCCTAAGACAGGGTGGGTTTAAACACCCCTCTTAATAAAAGGAAAGGATGCTTGACTGAACTTTGGTTTGCGGCCCAACTTAGGAAAATTAGACTTCTTCCTAAGATTTAGGGCGTTAGAGATCCCCCTCAGTAAAGTCCCTCTGGGCTAAGAACGGGTTTGGCACTACGGGATGTTAACTGCTATTCTCTTTGGATTACTCAGCCTTGCACTCTTGCTGACGGCTATGGGTGACAGGATTAGGCATGTACAGAATCATGGGACATGGGGAGCTTTTATCCTTCTCAAAAGGGGAAACTTGAGCTGATGGGACTGCTGAAAAAGGTCCCTTCACTACAGACAAGTGCTGCCTGAACTTGACTCAGTGTCACTGCAATGGAGGGGTCTTTCTCAGGCCTCCCTGAGCTCCTCACCGTCCCAACCCTGACACAGGCAATGCTTTTCTCCCATTCTCTCCTTTCCCCTTCTTATCTTTTCTGTTACTCAGATCAACTGTCCATTCTTTCATCTTGCCCAGAGACAACATGTTGAAAAATATCCTGAGGAGCTTGACCTTGTAACCCCATGGCAGTACTTGCTCTGTCTCTACCATCCCGAGAACAGGAATTTGGGGGTTGTTATAATTAGCTCTAAAAATTATCTTGAGCCTTTGCAAGCTCCAAATTGGCTGCTCTGGGCTCCTTCTGGAAAGAGCAATGGAAATTGCTTAGTGCTGGAGCTCAGCAGCTAAGGCTTTGCCATTTTACAATGGCTGGTGGCCCAGGTTCAATCTGGCAAAGGCAATGAGTACTTTCTGGTTGATATCTGTGTGACCTTTACCATTTGTTGATTCTCTTCCCCTCCATGAACTGTCTTAAATTTTTCTTTCTCTGAGCACCTGGAAGGTTACCGGCTTCAAAAGCCAGAAATATTGGCACTTTGGCATGGCTAAAGACGGGTAACAGGGGATTTAAAAGGACGTTTTAAAAAGTGCCGTGGTTAAGTCAGCTTAATTGAAAGCAGATAATCAAGCTTTAACAGCCTCGGACTCCGTCGGAAAACAGAGGGGGCACCACAGATCCCTTTTAAGTGAAAACCTCTATTTTCCTCATGGAACCCCAAAATTTAAAATGGATAGATCCCTCTCAAAATCTAAGGCTGTGTTCTGTTTTGCATTGCACTATCTGATGATTTTCACTTTGGGGGTATCAGAAATTACTTCACAGAGCTTTCGTATATAACTAGGTAGGAAATATACTTTTGGATATAACTAATGGCACAAGCGGGATACTCAGATCTTTGCACATTTGGATCAGAAGCATGCTCTTGGCCACCTAGAAGATATGGGGATGTCCCCACCGTCCCCTCAAACCCCACTGAGATACAACTCCCATGAGTGATGGGCTGATCACAGAATGGACTGACTGGCTTTGGGTTACTGCGCAATGAAATGCATGGTAAAATCACTGGACTGCCTTGTTCTATAGCGTTTCTCTTTTGGGAATCCAGGATCCAGTATACAAATGGGACACTTAATTTTTGGGGATCTGTTTTGCATTCCAACTGTGCCTGCTTATTAGGCTGTAGACACTACATGCTTTCCTGGCCCTGTTCCTCGAAGTGCTCTACCCTAAACCCAGTAATCCAATTAAGAAACTGGCACATGAGCCAGGTGTGATGGCTCACACCTATAATCCCAGCATTTTGGGAGGCTGAGGCAAGCAGATCACTTGGGGTCAGGAGTTCAAGACCAGCCTGGCCAACATGGCGAAACCCTGTCTCTACTTGGGAGGCTGAGGCAAGAGAATCACTTGAACCCAGGAAGTGGAGGTTTCAGTGAGCTAAGATCATGCCATTGTACTCCAGCATGGGCAACAGAGCAAGACTCTGTCTCTAAATAAATAAATAAAACTGGCAAATGAAAAATCTTATAACTACTGCATCTCTTCTTCTGTGTATTTATATGTATGGTGTGTGAAATACAAAAGAGCTTTGATAACTGGTTTAAAAATAATGAACACTTAAATATTTTGTCAGAAAAGTAAAAAGTGGAATGCCTTTTAATTCATGTGACTTAAGTAATTTCTGGGAAATAGTTTTAAAGATTATTGGTAAAATCAAAATATCTTCAAAACAAAGACATGTGGTTTAAATTAGGCAGGTTAGATATTAGGTTTGCTAAATGCTTTAAGGTCATAAACTGCTTCTTTGACTTTTGAAAACTGTTTAACTTACTTACTTTGGAGCAGATTCTAGGTAAGGCTTGGGGACATGTGGTGTTAGCCAGGCCCCCTAGCTATGCTAGAAAGAGTCAGACCTTATCTGCACTTCTGTTCTGTGTCCTAGGATCCATACCTAGTACATAATTAGAATTCCTTACTTACCAAGGTTTTCCACCATAAGTAAAAGTTGCTAAGAGTTAACATTGTAATATGTAATTGAAGACTACTGAAGAAAGTTTTACATTACAGGTATGTAAGGAAAGTGAAATTTTTTTTGGTAAAAGATTGTAAGAAAGCATGAGAATGTGTATTTTTGACCTATATTAAAGGGGTATAGGAGTGTTTTAAGTTAAGTACGATAACGCTGAAGGTCTGAGCAAGTTGTACATTTGTAAAAAATTAATCTTGTAAAAAAAATCTGTGTGAACATATTGGCTAAAGTTAAAGGGATATTATTCAGTTTTTCCATAAATTGAACACTGCAAAAAATCACAACAGAGTTTCCTGAGAGCAATAATCTACTCTTTAACAAAAATTGTAAAGAGTTGTAAACAGTTTATGAGAATCATACCTTATAGTTATACTGATTACAATTAGATTTTATACTGATTAAATTTTATACTGATTAAAATTAGATTTGTTTACACAGTTTTATACTGATTAAATTTTATACTGATTAAAATTAGATTTGTCTATACAGTTTTATTAAGAATTGGGGTTAACAATAGGACACTACTGCAAAGGTGAAATTTGGCTTTTTTGGTAAAAAAAAAATCATATAGGAAGCACTGTCAAATATAAAATGATGCTTGGCTTTCTTTGGGCTATATTTGTATAAATGTTACTGGCATGTGTTCCAAAATTATGGGAAACAACTATAATTCTGATATAACTTAGTGTACGTTATAATTGTTATATAAAATTGTTATGTGCCACAGAAGTAACCAAAATCCCCAGTCAATTATGGCTTTAACAGAGGCTGCTATAAGGCATTTTTGTCATCCAGAGACAACTGTCTGGTTTTAATCAAAAGGTAATTTTTAATCGGCTATAGGACTTTGACAGGTGCTTTTCAATGTAGGTTTCCGCTAACTTTGGCAATTGTGACATTAAAATAGAGGAAAGAAATTTTCAGGACTCTCATGAAGAGCTGGAGTGTTCGTGGATATCAAATAGGGCAAGCGTTAACTACATGAACTGAACTAACAGAAGACTGAAGTAATTTCTTTTATTTTTTGTTTAAAATGTTGCTTATCCTTTGTTTTATTTTTTAGAGTCAAGAAAACTTTTCTTTTGAGCTGCTTTGAGCTTTTCTTTGAGCTGTTTAACAATTGAGTAAAGTACATTACTGTGAATAAAATTTGGAGCCTATTTGTTTCCGATTTCTCCAGAATTTGGAACCTATTTGTGAATATTCTCAACTTATGGCAATATAGTTATTTGCATAAGTGGAATACGAGTGTTTTCTTTTGCAACAGGACACAACTGGATAAACTGATTATTTTACCAAGGCTTTGGCTGGAATAGTGTGCTTTCCTTTAAGGAATCAAACTTGACTTATAAAGCCAATAAAGGCCCTTGGGAAAACTTGCCTCATACCTTGTTTATGCCAGGGTTCCTGACCTGTGGTAAGTAAAGAATGTCACTTTCTGACAGGCCCAGGAGCCCCAAATTATCTTGGGACCTCAAGAGGAGAGGAATTTATCCAATTCATATTTTAAAGTCTTATCTGAGTTTCCTTATAAAACAGAGTTCCATCAAAGCCAGTTTTTAAAAGTCCATGTGAA